CTCTATCATCACAGAACCCGGTCTACAACCAGCACGGGAACAAAGTGAGGGAAGTCGAGCGTGCGAAGTTCCTTGGCATTTTCCTTTCCAGAAACGGCACGACGAGGAAGGACGTGACAGAGCGTCTTCGAAAAGCCAGGAAACACTTCAACACGCTGCGTCACGTCTGGAGACATACCGGATTTCCACTCCACTAGAAATTGCGCATATATAATGCACTGTTTGTCCAGATGATCGCGTACGGCATGGAATCGGCAGCGCTTACCCAGCCAGATCTCCACCGTATCGAAGGCTTTTACTCCCAGAGCCTTGGCAAAATGCAGGATACCCGCAGCCTTTTACACGGAGGTGCTCGCACCAGAATACCCCACCACCACCAACCAGCAACTTCGCGAGCAATCTTCACAGCCACCCCTCACACACCACATGCACAGGGCACAACTCAAGTTGTTTGGTCATGTTTTGAGAGCACCGGAGAATTGTTTGGAGAGGAACTGTTGCTTCACGAAGTCTTTTCTTTACAGGCGAGGCGTGGTGGGATGAGGGATTAGGAGCGGACACCCCAACAAATACTGGGCTGAACAATGTGCCTCACAAGATTGGCACTGGCTCCAACACCTCCCTAACCCTCCAGCACAGACGCACCCGAAATTCCCCTTTGCATTTGTTCAGTTTCACAGGTTGGCTGTCCACCGGTAACTCTGGAGTCGGCTAGTGCCTATGTGCAGGAACTACCTAAAGAAAACGTGCTGTAATGCGTTTTCCCAGTGAGCTCACAGCAAGTTCGCAGCAAGACCGCAGTTAAGCTTGGAGTATGGATGCATACGGCTGCAAAAAATACCGAGAATGAAACACGTCTTGCGGTTGTGTTGACAGGTTCCAGATTTTTTAACTTCAGTAATCCGAAGCAATGGCAGCACCCAAGAAACAAGCAGGTGCTCAAGGGCGTCCCAGCTTTCTGGGAGCGTGTGCAACGAGCAGCGTCGCTCGTGCAGGTGTCAGCAATGCGCCACATGCGTTCCTCTGCGTTCGGGGAATTGAGCGCACATTCAAGCAAGGATCTGGAGACTTGCACTTTGTAGTTGCACCTTTTTGTAGTGCTCGACAGGATTCGACACGTGAACTTGCACACATCATGCTTACTAGCACTCAACGGCTGCTGCTGTAGACATCTTCTGCAGATTTCGCACCTCGACCCTGGGTAGCATCTAGCATGTCAGGTTACCCGGATAGCATTGCATGCACCCCCACAGAGAGTCCAGGATCCGTGCCTCAGTTCCTTCATTGAAAGGACCGCTCCCTGCAGTTGCTGGGCGGCCGCTGCCGCATCCTGTGCCATGGCTTCAATGTAATCCGGCAAAGAAGCCTCAAAGCAAGCTGTCCTGGGGTAATATTGCGAAGCTCTTGAGCACTTGTTGTCAAGCTTGATGCATGAGGCACGGTAAAGCTAGGGGACCAAGAGGGCATAGTTTCCCGCTGCGGTGCTCATATTCCCCTGATCAGTACCCGCATCACTTCCTGATCTCATGCAATAGATCATCTTGTGCGCAGGTCAGTGGATCGCAAGATACCGCTAACCATTCATGCATGCAGCCTTCAGAAGGCAACTACCAGCAATGGGAGGCGACCATAGCAATCTATGTGCAATTGAGCCCGATGGTTGCTTGAGCTTGCAAAGCAGTTCTTTTGGGTTCTTTGGCTCGTGCATGATTGAAGATCACACCGAATGGACTGCTTGTGTGCCCATCCTACTTGTCGTAGTCCTGGCAGTAACACGCGTGATTGCAAAACCGGTTGGGGTTGAAACGAAGGATCTGCGGCGCTGGAGCATTGGACAAAGGTGTCGCGCAGTGGCTACCAGGCTGCAGAGGACGGAGAGCGCGAAGAAGGGCACGAAAGGCTTCCAAAGATGGCAATGGTGCAGGAGCAGTCAAAGGCATCATCGCCATAATATACGCAACGATTACTTCAAGTGGGGTAGTCGCAGGAGCAGGGAGACGGCAAGAGTGACGCTAGTGACGGTAGTAGCGAAGCCGTTGATACCAGACATGTCATTCTGAGCAAACGTCCGGGCTCATGAGTACCTCACAGCCTCAGCGGCGGCAGTGCCGGCAGAGGCAAGAAGAAGAAGATGAAGATGATAAGCGAGGCTTGCTGTACGGAGCGGAAACTGGGAATGGAATGTCAAGAGTACTCGCAGGTATACGTGGCGACAATGCAAGTCAGACTAGTCAGAAGAAATACCCCAACACAGTGAACTTCCTCTGCCGACACAGCAGTCAATCTGTGATAAGATCTGTTTTTGCACGGTATGGTCTCTGTTGTCTTGTTATGTGGCTCGTGCTGATCCCGCTATGCTAGGCTGACGTGCAAATGTGCATGTTGAGATCTGGACCGGCATCTCATCACTCCATGAGGGGTTGAAATGCTTGGAACTCTCTTGGGCTCAGATCTTGGTGTTCCATATCCAGGGGGTGTCAATTTAGGCTCATAATATCCCAAAGTGGTCAACCCCCGATTTGTGGAAACCCCCAGATCTTCGCATCCTCGGCAATGCCAAAGCTTGAGGTTCCGCGGCTGCAGTGTCGCCGCGCAGCCGGTGGAATTCCTGGAGATGTACGGAGGACGGCTGCGTGTCACCAGGTGATTTAACTTCGTTTTGGGAGTAGGTGATCTGGTTAAAGAGCAGATAGACCCCGTGCGGGCCTTGATTTGCAGGATGTGAAGGGTTCTGCACAGGTCGAAACTGTTGGGACCTCATATCAGATGGTTGCATGTCCACGGTTGTGAACGGAACTTGGGGCCGTCGGCGCCAGTTGAGATCTAGGTTGGATTGGTTCAGTCTGTTCGGGCATGAATTCCATGTTGACGTTGCGCCCATGCTGGTCTGTCACGTATCCCAGTCTCGGAGTCCACTGTTTCCTAGGCAGGCGGAAGCGACATCTACGACCTTGCAGCTGTTCATAGTATCAGATATTAGCAGGATTGACACTATCCTTAGCTGTAGAGCTGTGATTGTTCTGTCTTGCCATCAGTGCCTGTCGGACTTGTTTGGTCTTCATCTTGGGTTACACAACTTTAGGTTCCAGCTTTTAATGCACGTGGCAGGCACAGAGTGTGGCAACATCGCGGTCAATCGGAAGATCACCAAGGGGGTAGAGTACAAGGTGCCCAGGTCCGACTTTTCAGGTCTCAGGGCTCTATAATCCCTAAACCCAATTTTGCAAAGCTCCTAGGCAGCTTGTCCATATCAAGGTAGGGCAGAAGCTCTTGAAGTAGTTCATCTCTGAAAATCTCCTCGGGTTGCATCAGCAAGAGGAGACGTGCTTCAGGGTTTCAGTGCTGGGAGGTGCTCCCGTATGAAGACCTGGAGGAAGGCTGCGGCGAATTGGTCGTAAAGAATCTGGTCAAGATGCAGATTCAGGGTCAGTGGGTGTCTGGCAGGATTTTCCAATTCAGGGGAGGTGGGTTGATGGAAGCGGCGGTGGGTTCCAGACTGTCTTGCATGTTTGTGGAACTTGAAAGTAATTGTTGAACCTTTGCGGTGCGGGTTTCCAGGACTGGCAGCAGCATGTTCTCCTGCTACTACAAGGACGGCAACTTCTGGGAAGGAGACGGAAGTCTCGTTGGCGCAGTCAGACGGTTTTTGTCCTGGTGATACATCAAAGACAGCTACAGTTTGAACCTTCATTTTTTGCAGTACACTTTCTCTGGACGAATCCGCTGCCTTATTCCTCCACTGCACAATGATGGGAATGTTTACCACAGAGAGTGAATTTTCGATGATCAGACGATATTAAAAGCTGCCAAAGCCACGTCAGGATCCCGCACGAACCGCGGCCGCCTTCACGGAGGAAAGGTTTGGGTACTTTGTCTCTTTGGGGAAGTCTTTGCGCAGAAGAGTTGCACGAAAGATGAGGCGCCCATGACTTTAGGAAATCTCATGATGTGCACAATTCTTCAGGATTCCTGGGAAAGGGCGGACCTTGGCCAGGGCGGAAGTCTTACAAGCTGAATATGTACTGTGTGATCCGCCTGTAATGTTACCTGTCTCTGTGCTGCATCCGCCGCTATCCGGCTGCTATCCCCATAAGCCTCAGCCCAAAGCCAGTTTTGCGAATCTGCACCGTGTAGAGGATGGATTCTACAAGATTGGGGACCTCGTGTGTGTGAGAGGTGATGAGCAGCTTGGCAGACCGTTATGTCACCTTCACAGGATGATGTGCTAATCCCCAACCTTAGCATCCAGAAATCCACCCAGGCATACCCTCATCCTGCTCTCACTCATCCTGCCTTTCCTGACACTTTTGGGTCAGTCCATACTCCTTTTTTTTTTTTTGAAGGGCTGCGTCTTGTGTATTTGTGTATGGGTTTTTCCAGCTCCTTCAGGATAAACGTGATCGGCCGCGCGAAGACATCCATCAAGCTGGCGTCTGGGAAGTGGATCTTTCCTGAATCCTTGGAGGGGCATTGCAGGCAGGCTCATGCCTTGCAATCTTCCCGCATGGGTAGCATGTTATCTTGAATGGGAGGACTGTAGTCCTAGAGTCAGATCATATTCTCCCTGTGGTTGTAGAAGTCTAGAAGGTGAATGTAATCCAACTTGTTTCAACCACCGAAGAACACTACCCGCACATTTGCGCAGGGTTCGGTGTGTGGATAGCCAAGTTTTGCTGTCCCCATGTGGGGCCTTGATGTGGACTTTCGCCAAAGGCAGCTGTCTGCGTGAAGCTGCAGCCAGGCTCAAGTTTCCTGAAGTCCTTGGTAAGACCGATGTGATGGTACGGCTCGAACATGCCATTTCGCAGTGATGCTTAGGCTGCTTAGTGTATTTTCCACGCAGGAAAGGTGTGATAAACGCACATAGGAAGTTGAAACATTTGTCAGAGCCTGCTGCGAAGATGGAGATGGAGGGTGCTGCGCTTGCTCTTACAGGCAGCATCATCGTTCTGACCTTTCATATACTGACATACGGTCCTCAACTGCACTCGGTTTCCTCTATGCTGCGGGGGCTGTCGTTTTCCAGCCAAGAGCCCGACGCTCTTCCCAAGGCGCACCACGATCGAGTTCAGGAGGAGTTGTGGAAGATTCGCGCCAGAATCTACAAGAATGCAGTCAGCTTGTTTGTGCACCCGGTCGGCTTTCTGGTGATCGCCTTCATGTACGACTTCTTTTCGGATTTCTGCTTTGCAGGGCTTTTCAGACTTGTCTGCATCTGCGGCGTGTACGTGACGCATACTGCAGTGCTCAAAGGTGTTATCATACTGAGCCGACGGAACCTTACAATCTTCTACATTGTGTACAACGCTTCCTTCGTGCTGTTTCTGCTTGGTGGAGTCCTTGAATCGCGGGCCAGTGACTCACGAGCCATGACCATGCAGGTCTTCAACGATGGGAGCCGGCTGGTGATGACGGTGATCTTCATGCACGCGAGGACGACCTTCCCAGCTCAGCTGGCAATGTCAGCGGCGGAGAGCGTTGTCTATTGGGTCAAGCAGGAGGGCAACACAGATCACCACACAGATGCCATGAAATATGCAGTCGGACAATTCGTTTCTGCTGTTGGTATGTGCGCAGTTAGTGCCATTCTGGAGTTTTGGGTGATCTCGCACGCCTCCGCCCTCCTAGATGCAGAGTCAATGGTGGGGAGCTTCCGCCGGATGCTCCGAGGTGTTTGTGATGGTGAAGTGCTGCTGACGGAAAACATGAGCATCTGCGAGGACACGGAGTGCCTCAAGCATTTGTTGATGTCGCCGACTGGGTTCAAAGGCTGCAACTTTGAGCAGCTTCTGATGCCGGATGAGCGGAAGCGCTTCACCAAATTCATCGAACAGTCCACACAGGAAACATTGAAACCAGAACAGAACAAGACAACTCCACACTGCCTGCGAGTTTCTCTGCAGGGCACAAATGGCATCCGGGTAGGTGTAGATCTCTGGCACGTCCCGATGCCTGATCTCTTTGGTAAAGAGGGCCCGCATCACCTCGTAGCTTTGCGGGAGGACCCTGGCGATGGCTTTGGAAAGCTTTTACAATTTGTGGTATTTTCCTTGCGCTAGAAACAAATCAGCCGCACTTGTTTGACATTTTGCAGAGTCTGAAGATTCAGGATTGGGAAACTCGCTTGCAGCCGGATGCGCCCGTGCAGGTCCAAAAGAACCTGCCGGAAATGAGCGAGTCCCCCAAAGCCTCCCAAGCTCAGTCAGAGTCAGGGTTTATGTCACAGTCTACCTACAACTCTTTGACGCAGAACTACCCAGAGTCACTTGGCTGTTTTGTGGTAGCAGCTGTCGTAGTATTCCCGACGGACACCTTGGACATTGAGAGTCAGGGGATTAGATTGTCTTGCCGACATGGTCCTTACAGGGCCACAGGTCGTGGGAACTGTGAATTAGAGTCTTTCATCGTTTGCAGGAAGCTGTTGCTTTCCCTGAGTGCGGCCCCTGGAGGGTGGCGGCCAAGAGGCAAATCCTGAATTGCTAACACCGATTGTTATCCTTTCTTCTTGTACTAGTAACACAGTTGTGCTAAGCAGTAGTACTCGCAGTACTTAAATGCAAAAATGCTTGCCTCCGTAGGAAAACACTGGCAGGCTGTTCAGCTACATGTCCAAACGCAGACGCGCAGTTTGGAAAATGGTGGACCAGCCAATGCTTTCCATCAGAAATCAGAAGAACCATTCCTTCTGGAGAGCGGCCTGCCATGGGGCCTGGGTTTTTGCATACCATTTTAACAGATTTGGCTGTATGGCAACCGGAAGAGAGCTCAAGCTCCAGTTGAT